CTGAAGAATAAAGATGTCTCTTTGAAGACCAAGGTGAGCCTAACCCAAGCAATGGTGGTTTCCATTGCCTCATATGCATGTGAGAGCTGGACAATGAATAAGGAAGACCGAAGAAGAGTTGATGCTTTTGAGTTGTGGTGTTGGTGAAGAATACTGAAAGTGCCACCAACTGCCAAAAGAACTAACAGATCTATCCTGGAAGATGTGCAGCCAGAATGCACCTTGGAAGCAAGAATTGCCATACTTCATCTCACCTACTTGGGTCATGTTGTCAGATGGAACCATTCCCTGGAGAAGGATATCATGCTTGGTAAAGTGGAGGGTCAGCAAAAAAGGGGAAGGTCCTCAACGAAAGGGATTGACACAGTGGTTGCAATGATGGGCTCAGATATAGCAAGGATTGTGAGGATTGCATGGGATGGGGCAGTGTTTCATTCTGTTGTACACAGGGCTGCTATGCGTTGGAGCTGACTCGAAGGCACCTAACAACAACATGCTTTAGTTGGGTCTCTTATGTATCTTCCATATTGCCACTTAACTTTTGAACATATAGAATATAGTTGCAGTAACAGTTTCTCTGCCGATTTTAATATCTGTGTCAGTTTGGATGGTTTTTTTTTTTCTTTCTTAATTATGGATCATATTTTCCTGTTTATTTATTTGCAGGATAATTTCTGAATGAATGTCAGACGTTCTTAATTTTAATTTATTTTTTTCTGGCTAGTTTTGTATTCCTGTAGATACTTTTATTGGAAGAAGACTGGGCAATCTACTCTGTAGAGATACCACCTTGGAAACCCAAGGAGGGGTTGCTATGAATTGGAATGGACTTGATGGCAGTGAGGTTTTCCTTTTTTTGTTTTTTTATTTCTACAGATATTTTTAAGCTTTGTTCTGGGATGCAGTTAATTCTTCATCTTCTTTGATCTTGCTTTTAAGATTTGGTAGTAAGACCAGAGCAGGGATAATTAGTCCAGGGATAATTTTTCCCCAGCACTGAGGCAAGACTCTTCTCAGTAATCTACCAATGGCCTATGCATGGATGATGAGGTTTTCCTGTGTGGTTTTCTGGAATGTGCACTATTCCCACCCTGAGTATCCTTCCCTATAATCTAGTTGTTTCCCAATCCTGGAGCACTTCCTGGACACACATGTGCTAATCAGTTCTGTACTGGGTATTCAAGGGCTTCTGCAGATGTCCAGAGTTCTCTCTCTGTAGCCATTTCTTTGATTCTCAGAACGGTGAGCTCTAGCTGCTTGTAGTCTGCACTCTCAGCTCCATCTGTTCAACTCAGGGAATCTGCTGGATTCTGCCTGGGAAATGCTCTCTAGTTCCTGAGCTGGGACAATCACAGGGCTCATCTCATTTGTTTTCTATCTTTCAGAAATCACTATCCTTTACTGCCTAATGCCTAGGGTCTTGAAAATAATTGTTACATATATATCTATATCTATATCTTTTTCTGGTTGTTCCCTGAAGGAAGGTAAATCCAGGCCCTAATACTCCATCTTGGTGTCTTGGCTGGAAGGAGAAGTCCTTCAGGTACAGGTGTCTGTACTATCTCAGATTGGAATTCTGTAACTTAGGACTGCAGAAATCAGACTGTTCAATAAAAAGGATTGAATTAATACCAAACCATCAAACTGCAGGTTTAGTCTGTATCAGTTTGGATATGAATAGCATTTACAATACCAATGCAGTCTTTGCTAACAATACTACTTACTGGGTTCTCGTAGGTAAGAAATCACTGCATCCTGTGTGATTAGGTGCAATGGCTTGGCCCTGAGCCTGCTCCTTTCCATGTCTTTCTCTCCAGGTTAGGCTCATTCTTACCCTGCTTCAGGCTGTTCATCGTCTCCATCTGAGTTTACTCTTTTAGGAGACCGCTGGTTGAGCAGAGTTCTCAGATAACCTTTGGTTTTACTCCAACCCAATTTTTAATCCATTAGGCATTGTGCTTCATGCCCTACTTTCACCACAATCTTTAAACACTCTGTGTCTTTGCATTTAACCTTACATCTTGCTTTAAACTCTTAACTAGGACAAAGACAATTCTCTTTGTCTTAGGTGTCAAAACATGCTTCTTACTTTTGTTATCTCCCATTAATCTTCCCTGGTTCACTTTTTCCCTGGTTGACTACTAAGGGACACTAAATTCAGTGTCCTTCTCAAGGCTGTGGATGTTGTCTCTACAGACAATTCTCAAATTTCCCAGTTATCTTTGATGACTTGGGGCCATATGGCCAAAGATTCTGTTTCCTTCTTCCTTAGACCCATGTCAGTATCCTGTTACCTCATTAAATATCAAATAGATTAATAACCAGATATTGCTTTATTCCATATTTAAAGATAAATGGGTAATTAAATAGATTCTTAAGAATAGACATATTATAGGAGAAAACTGTATATACAAAGATATTTAAAATGTCTGGTTTGACAACAAGCAAGGCAGATATATTTCCATAGTTTAAAACTTGGGTTTCATAATGCTCATTTACAATAGAACTAATCCATGAATGAGAGTTGAAAGTACATTTAATCAGCCTCTGGAAACTTCACATTATTATATCTAATTGTTTTAATATTCTGTGACAAATTAAAAAAAATGTAGTACAAATAATAAAAATGTAACTGAAGTCCAGGTTGGCTATGATAACATTTATAAGTTTGCTTCAGCTGTAATGCCCTTACGTTTTCCTGATGCTCACAAACCAAATAATGAGTGTTTTAAAATTTAAAAAGTGTTTAGGGCCATTATGAAGATCTACTTTGGTAGTCAATTTCCCACAGAAGAAGAGTACAAATGATCTCCCTATAAAGAGAAGTTATTGTTACAGATGATGAGGTCTATAAAATGCTGTCGCCATGTAAAATTCCTGCTTTTCTTGGGTCATAAAAAGTTAAGGATACTAAAAAATACCACTAAATTTCAACAGTTGTGATGAAAACATATTCTTTGAACTCTAGCTATCCGATGTTAACTGTGTCCACATGAAACATCATGTCATTGGGTATCCTAAATTAACCTTTTAATTATTCAAGATTTTTCTAAAATAAAGATTTTAAAAATAAGAATGTCTCTGTTTGGTTTCTGTACAAGTCATTCTGAAATATTTTTGACATTATAATAATAATTGCTTGGCTTAATGACAATCTTCTCAAATCTTCGCTATGGATTGCCCATCCTTTCTCTCCACAGAATATGGTAAACTAATAAATCATGTGACAGATTTCAATAATGCGATGAACTTTCATGCACATCTGTGTATGTGTCTTTTGATAAGAAAACTCATGTAATTATGTATATTTATAGTCTCAGAAATATATGTCTTAACAACCCTTTTCCCTGTTTGAGGACTATCCTATCTATCCTTGAGAATTACATGGGAAGCCAGTACTTCTCAGCAATGAAGCTGACACATGAAAAAGTCATAGTTCTAACACTGGGATAGAAATCTCTCTAAAATACTTGCTGCCTCCTAAAATTACAAGCAATATTTCAGCATTTTCTTGATGACAAAGGGTTAGCATTATGACTATCAATTAGTATGATATGTGGAACACTCAAGACACTGAATACTCTGCATTCTTATGTCTATTTTCAAAAATCTTTTTTCTCTTTGCTGTCAGAGTACCCACTGCCCTAGATTATGGCAGGTCTGTGTGACGACTTGTAAGAGGTACTCCTCCAGTTTTCTAATGTGTTGTTTGTATTCTGATGTGACCATGGCTGTTAGACTTTGTCTAACTGTTTCTGGAGTATGCACTGAGGGATTTTCTGCACAAAGGAAGGCATTTCCTTGCATTCTGTGATGTCGACTTTAGCTGTTTAAGACCCTTCCCCACCTTTCACAGTAGCCTCTATTAGTAACAGGAGAATTTGCCAAATCAAGTACTGTCAGGGGCTGTGCTATAAGAGCTGAGGTGTCACACCTGAGGAAGAAGGACGTGCTACAGCTGGGACCGTAGAATGCAAATAACGAACGGCAGAAGAGACAGTGGTAAGAAGGCAGATCCTGGAAGGTATTGTAAGAAGGGTGGGTGTAGTCCCATCATCATGCTGGGACCAGTATGTGTGATGCCTGTGGTTCTGAGATTTCTCTAGGTACATGTCTCTATTAACATTGTTGTGAACATTAAAGCAAAGTGAATAATAAAGAAAAGAGTGATTTATGAATATTCCCATGCCTCACGCTCTGATACTAAATGAATGGAAAATGGATGGCAGAGGTCCAACTCTGTCTTCTGATCCTTTCCCTATGTGTCCTCATTCTTCTAAGAGGTTACATATTTTTCATACAGAAAAAGTCAGTGACCCACCTGTATAATTCTTTGTTATGCTGAATCTCTTTCTACCTAAAATAAGGGTTGTGGAAACTTGACATGAAAATCACTCAGGAATGAGTGTGACTCAGAGACAAAGGCCCTACTAAGTTCCTCCCCAATCATCTCTCTCTGGTTTGCTGTAATATTTTGCAAAATATAATTAGCAATACCATTGTCTGTAAGTCCATGACTTAAAGACACGCTGTGTTCTTTCCCGTTGGAGCCTCAAACTATGGGAATAGAACCTCTCAAATTGTGGGGATGGAACCTGGTACACTGTGATTAAGGTTCACATGAGTTTATACACATAGTGTTTAGGTATCAGGCTCCCTTAACAGTCAACGACAGTGCTTTGCACAAATTCCACATGTCACAGTCTCCCCTAAAAAAAAAGCAAATGGAATGGAAAGCATATTGCAGCATTTTCAATGACTATACTTACATCTACTCCTCTGGGTTTTGGAGTGGTTGTCTTCAAGGACCTCTGGACCCTTAAGAAGATTGTTTTGTAAAGGAATACCTTTCTAAGTATGACAGTTCAATATAATTGGTCTTTCTCTAGTGTCCTTAACAACTTCATTAGAACTGCATTTTTCAAAACTAGACTTCTATTATTTTCTAAGGACTGGATCAAAATTCCAGATTTCTTTGTATTGTAATGAACTAATCATACCTTCCAGCTCCCTGCAGCCAAGTTCTGCAGGGCGCCTGCTGCCCCTTCCAGCGTGTCTGGATTTGAGCACTCAGAGAGCAGTGTGAGGTAGGGTTTGACTATTGATGGGTGCCACAGCATCTGGATCCCTTTTGGTGGTTCTGCACAGTCTGGAAGAGGTCCTACTCCATCCCACTGGTGGAAGAAAAACGAGAGAGTAAACATCTTTCAGAGATGTCACTAGTATTGGTATCCCCAGTGTAGTACCTCACGGTGTCACCCCCTACCCCCCATGAACCTTCTGTACCAGACCATCCAAACCAAGCACTCTCACTGTCATCGATTCAATTCTGACTCATAGCAACCCCTTCTTGGGTTTCTGTGGTGGTATCTCTATGTTAGTAGATTGCCCAGTCTTCCTTCTGAGGACGAACCACCAGCCTGGTTAGCAGTAAAATACCTTAGGCACTATGCCACCAGGGCACCCATACAGGATCCTAGTAACATTCATTTTCAATTTTAATCATAGAATAACATGTTACACATATAGTTGTAAGTTGCTTAAATGTACTATGTCTTAGATTATATGAATATTAACAACAAAGCTAGTTTTTAAAATCTTTCTATATGACTTGCAACATTACTAATTATAATTATTAGTAACTATGTGGAGGGCTTTTTAGATTTTTCTCCTTTTCCTTCAATTACTACATCGTTCTCAAAAAAGTTATTAACATAGGTTCACAAATATAACTTACCATATAATATTGTAGTTAAAACACCAGAAAATTTGACAAAATTGGTGACTATAAAAACAACAAGAACAACAAAACCACAGTGCATGCTTGTAGCACATGCAGACGGAACCATGGGATTCAAAGCATCACTGTATTGAGTAATAATGACAGCTCTGACTGAGCACATTGGAAGGTTCAAAAAATAAACGAGCAGAGAGTTTTAGCCTTGTAGTCATATTGATCCCTGAAAGCTGGGCTTACAAAAAAATGTTTCTGTGTTATAACTAACTACAGGGAGATTTTTTATAAAACATAATACACTACTGCAGAAACAATGCACAAAAATTTCACAGGTAAGTCACTTTGGTGTCACCCGCCCTCTGACAGTGCCACCTGGCAGAGTCCCCACTCCCCGTACCTCCCCTGTGATGACACTGACATTTCTAACATGTTTGTGCTTCCCAATGCTGCCTTCTGCAAACATCAAAGATGAAACAAAAGCAGGTGTTGTAACACTTGGTGAGCTACCCAGGGACCACTGAGAAACGGGAGAACCATCCTTGCCCACTGAGAGCTTACAATCGAGGGTGGAGGGTGTTGGTACATGTACCTAAGTGTGTGTAACCAGCAGTGGAATGGGCTAAGCTCTTTGAGAATGATACAAACACATTGCTCTAGGAGGGATGGAGATGAGATGAATTTGGATCGGGCAGGGTGGAAGAAGGTTGAGGATCAAGGGAGGTTTTATAGTTAGTACATTCTAGGCATTAGTGACAGTTGTTATGGTTGTGGGACACTGAGTGGATTATGACTAATAGTGACCATACAGGACAGAGGAGGACCACCGTAGCCTGTAATCTTTATGGGAGCAGATCACCTGGTCTTTTCTCCCAAGATATCACCAGATGGGTTTGCACCACCAACCTGTTGGTTAGTAGCTAAGTACTTAACCAGTGTGCCACCAGTGCTCCTTACATAGTGGCTATTAAGAATCAAATGCTCTCGGTTATTAGGTATAATTATTAACTGTGATAAAATTCCTATATATTTTATGAAATACAATTGACCTTTGAACCCCACAGGTTTGAACTGTGTGGGTCTACTCACATCTGATTTTTTTTCAGTATATGGATCTTGGAGAAATAAACAGCTGACAGACACCACAGCAGAGGACTCAACAGAAGATGATGTGATGGAGATGAGTGATCCATCAGAGTGCCAGACGAAGAGGAAGAAGACGGTGAGGAAGTAGTGCCAGAAAATAATCTGGCCTTAGACAACCTAGCAGAAGGGTTCCCGTTATTCACAACCACTTCTGACTTCTTCTAGGACATGGACCCTTCCGTGATACGGGCACTGAAACTAACGCAAACAGTGGAAGGATAGGGACCTTACAGAAACATTTTCAGGGAAACAACAGAGCATCAAGTCAGATGGAACACAGTGTATTTCTGTAAAGTTGCACCCAGTGTGCCTGCCTCTCCTCCCTCCTCTTCCACTTCTGCCACCCCCGAGACAGAGTGACCCACCCCTCCTTTTCCTCCTCCTTGGTCGGCCCAACATGAAGGTGACCCACTTCCAGTTAATGGAGAGTAAATAACCACCATGCTGTACAGTTAGTAAACAGATCTACTGTGCAGGTGTGTGAGAGTCCTTGTGTGAAAATCCAACAACTCTATGGCAAGAACTGGGTTAATGGACACCTTATGTTATCGGTAAGGGTTCTGGTCAAGAGCACGCTATTAGTGTCTAGGTTTTTTGGGAGTCGAAAGTTATATGCTGATGTCTGAGTACACAGGGGTCAGCGCCCCCAACTCCTGCACTATCCAAGGGTCACCTGCACACGTTTGTTAGATTTGGGGTGCTGTAGTTGCATTTATGAGCACTACAGAAGTAAATGACAGAATGGACAAAAAAAGAGAAAACTGTGAGAGTTTATTATACACACTGACATGAGCTACAATCAAATCCAGATCTTGCAGCTGCCCTGAGAGTTATGTTGGCTTTGAATTGAATCCAGTGAATAACAGGAGAAAGCGTTAAAAGCAGTGAGGGCTCATAGGGACAAAGGAGCGTCAATCAACCATTAAAAATACCAGCACAACCATGGAGCAACCTGGACAAATTATTAGGATGGAATTTAAATAAACAAATGGTGCAAAGTGGTATGAGGTTTGTGATTTGAGCCAAATAACGTGCATCATAAAAACCTCCACTGGTGATAAAAATGAATAAAACTGTTGGCCTGTATTTTTTCCCACATTTCCAATTTCTGTTTTCTAACTTCTATAATTTTAAAACATTAGCAATGGAAATAATGATTCTGAACATTGATCACATCCAGTTTTTGTCTCTTGTGAAAAATAAAAGCAATCAGCAGAATGAGGAAAGGGATGAAATCATTCAGTATGTGTTTATAAAAACACACCCATATTCATTTCTGAGAGAATGACAGTGAAACAAACAAGTTCTCTTAAATTTCTGAATGGAGGTATGAAGCTACCCAACCTCTTGTTCCTGTCTGTAGATGATTTTTTAAAACAATGTATTGCTTAAATCATTGCATATGCTTTCTCCCAGATATTTAATGTAACAGGATATACATGTCTGTGTGTATGTGTCCCCCCTCTGTGTGTGTACATGTATGTAGTATGTACATATGTACATAGCTGTCTATATCTGTTTATGTGTGTGTATGCATGCATATATATATATGCATGCATACACACACATAAACAGATATAGATATAGATAGCTATGTACAGGTGTGTATTTCCAAATCTGAGTAAGGTCCCTCATTCTGAAAATATTATTTAAGAAAATATAAGCTTACTTCATATCCTTGCAACATAGAAGATTGAAATGTTGGTAAAGATAATGGAACTGTCACATATAATTCCAAGAATTTCATAATTTATTTTCCAGACAAAAATAAAAAGCACATGCCTTCTTTCTCTCTGTTGTGACACAGCTTGCTTTCAGTGACAGCTAAAGCTCAGAGATGAATGACAGGATGTTGGACATTCCATTCAAGGTCATTCTCAATGAGACTGTCAGTCAATTGCAACATTTTAACAAGGACATTTGTGTGGAATGCTTTCTGTACCTTTAACCAAAGCCACTTCTAAGCCATTCAAAGATGCCTTTGCATCTATGTCCAGATCAATGCATCTCTTTTAAATATTAAAAAAAAAAAAAAAATTGGAAAGGGAACGAGCTCTGTCGGGTTGCTCCTGGTTCGTTCTTTGAGGGAGGCGTGCTGCACTGAGTAGAATGACAGAGCCAGGCAAAGACAGCCGTCGTCTCGCAGGTCTGCTGACTTCGAAGCAGCTGTGGCAACACTGACTTCTCAAAGGACACCAGTCTGGACTCCTGACTCTCCGCTGGTGTAACAGGAAGTGGAAACTTATTTCATTCACCATTAATGTGGGTTTATTTATTTATTTTCACTTTCCACGTTTTCATCTTGTAAAGAATTTTAAGCTACCACTTTTCTTAATAATATTTGCAAAAATCAGAGTATGGAATGCATGGAACTCAACATGGATGAGATTCCCTCTCCTAAAAGAGCCAAGGGGGCAGTGGGAGGTATACAGAAGTCATATGAACATACTCCTTACAAGCCACAAGAGCCAAAGCCTCCGCCAGCGCGAGGCGGCCGCGGTCTCTCTGCTGAGCTTGGTCTCGCTCTCCTTGAAACGTCCGCACCTTATATAAAGGAGGACGAATGGTTAAACCGGCAGACAACTCCTTCTGCTCGGACATAGGATGTGCGTCGCTCCTAAATACCTTTTATTACAACACTTTCTCAAAGGCTACAGAAAGAACGTGAAGGAAATAAAAGCTCCACTGTTGTGAATAAGGATAATCTTTGATGGCACCCAGAGACGAGTTCAAACGGCCTCATTCGCTATCTCACAGCCTTGATGGCACCCTGGTATGTTAATACCAAAGACAAAGAACTGGTTTCAAAGCCAGCTAATATATCTGGCCTTTTTCTCGGTACTTTATTCAAACTTCTGTTAACAGGGTGAAAAAAATGATCAGGTGTTCATTAAAAATCAATCTTCACCACCATTACAATGACCTGGCATTGTCTTAAAGAGTTTTGCTGACACAGTTGGCAGTGTTTTATCTAGCTCATCAATATCAACACCCCCCATCTGTCAGTGTGTCATACTGCGGTGACTTCCATGTTACTGTGATGCTGGAAGTTCTGCCATCAGTATTCCAAGTGCCAGCAGGGATACCTGTGGTAGACAGTTTTCAGCAGAGCTTCCAGACTAGGACAGACTAGAAGAAAGGACTAGCAGTCAGCTTCCAAAAAGGAGACAATGAAAACATTATGTAGCACAACCAATCCCTGTTAGAGTCACTGTACCAAAAAATAATTGGTTGATATTTAAACATTTTAGGAGGCAGAATATGATCCAGAACTGATGGTACTGAAGGAAGAAG